GCGGCGCGAAATGGCGGCGCGGCCGCGCTGAGGGGCGCGGAGCCGCCGCCATGAGGCTGGTGCGCGCGCTGCTGCGCGCGGCGCCGGGCAGCATCCCGCAGCAGGTGGATTTCTACTCGCGCTTCTCGCCCTCGCCGCTCTCCATGAAGCAGTTCCTGGACTTCGGTGAGCGCCGCGCGCGGGTCGTGCGGGCGTCGCCGGGCCGGGCCGGGGCTCGGGCGCCGCCGCCCCTGCCGGTCCCCGCGCCCTTGCGAGCCCGCGCCGGGGCCTTCCCCGCCGTGCCGCGCTGCCCGCTGGAGGCGTTGCGAGAGCGGGGCGGGAAGGGAAACGGCAGGAGCCGCGCGAGCGGCTGGGAGCGCGGCCGGGGAAGCGACTAAATGGGCCCGGCGGGGAGCTCTGCCCTGTGCGGCCGAGGGACAGGCAGCCAGAACTGGCCGCAGGGTGCCAGGCTCCTCAAACACGGTGAGCGGGAGGGTTAAAGGAAAACCTCCCGTTTGGKACATTGCAATGCTATGTCTGGCTGAGTTAAACCTCCAGATCTCTGCAGGAGAAACTGTCCATGTAACTTTGTTGCTTCTCTTTTCAACAAAGAATCATGCAGCTCAAAGGTAAAGTGGTTTCAACCACTGTAGTACCTACACAGTATAATCTTGAAAGCTTTTTTTCCCCCTTTGTTTTGTTTTGCTTAAGCATGTAGCAAAACAAGGGAAGGAAGCTAATAACAAAGATAAAAAAGTAGAGCACAACAGGGAGCCAGTCATTGTCTGTGTGAYAGTCTGTAGCCGTTGTCACCTGATGGTGTTTGCACTTGGGATTCTCTTGGTTCTGTCTGCCAAAGCAAAAGCAGTTACAGAGAAAATCGTGAAAGGARAAAACAAACAGCAAGGTCAGCTTAAAAAAACCTGCTTCCAGTTCCCTCATTTGTCACTACAGTAAATGCAGTATTCTCTAAGCAAATTTAGGTGTTGATCTTGTACATCTGCCATGTCCTGGGATGTGAGCTCACCGTGTTTTCCACAGGGTCCTCTACCTTCCTTGGCATAGACAGATCATAACCACGCGGGGAAACAGGCTCCTCATTCAGTGAGATCTTCTTGCAGTGTTTGCGTAGCCTCCAAATCCCAAACTGATTTGCGGGATGTTGTTTGCTGAGTTATCTTTACAGTTTAGTACCTTCAATTTGACTTGTTAAGGAATTTCCTTAGAGGATAGGGAAAGGGCTGTATTAGCCACACACCCAAARTGCAGACTGGCTAGGGAAAAGAATGAGATATTTCTGGGCAGAGCTCTCATATCCAGAAGAAACACAACTTTCCTGGGGTGATCCATTTGCCTCTTCAACAGTAAGTGCCACGTAGGGCTTGAACAGGAGTAGTTAGAGTCAATATTTGTTGCAGAACATTTTACATAGACCAAAACCATACTTAAAATTGAATGGTATGTGTCTGCATTATTGCACTAGTGGCTCTTYGTATATAGTGAGGCCTATATAAATCCTTCATGTAGGGAAGAKTCTCCTTTTCATGACAGAGTTGGTAGATTTCAGTATATTACGTTTTGAATTATATTTATAAGATGGCTGCTCCCATTAAAGAAACACTTTGGCTGACCAAACTAGCCCAGTCAGCTTCAAAACTAAACCACAGGCTTCTTGTACATGAAAGTGCAAGTTTGTGTAGTTCAATCCCACAGATGTTGACTTTATTCTAACATTTTCATTTTTTTTCTCTTGATTTTAGGATCTGAAAATGCTTGTGAAAAGACTTCATTTATGTTTCTGCGACAAGAGCTGCCTGTGAGGCTGGCAAACATAATGAAGGAAATCAGCCTTCTTCCAGACAACCTTCTAAGAACACCCTCAGTTCAGCTGGTGCAGAGCTGGTAAGAACTTCAATCCCTTTAAAGGCTGGAGGAACAACACATTCTCTTCTAYGGAAAGAACATTTCATGTGCTCGTTGCGTGAACGTTACTTGTTTAGACTAAGTAAATATCCCAATGGGACATAAAATAGAAAGTAAACTTGCAGATATAGGGAAAACTTCTTGTAGCTAAGTGTTTGAGGGGAGAATGTAGGGAGGAAGGGGGAGAACCCTTCTTGGTGGTGGCCAGTGACAGGACGAGGGGCAGTGGGTACGAGCTGAAACACAGCGGGTTTGACCTCCATGTGAGGAAGAAATTCCTTGCTGTGAGGGTGATGGAGCCCTGGAACAGGCTGCCCAGGGAGGCTGTGAAGTCTCCTTCTCTTCCAAACCCTCCTGGATGCCACCCTGGTGCTCTGGGTGTCCCTGCTGGAGCAGGGGTTGGACTAGATGATCTCTAGGGGTCCTTTCCAACCTCAGCCTGAACAGTTCATTCACAACAAAAACTCAGCACAGCCGTGTTTGATAAGGACTTATCTTAAGTGAAGAAGCTAGCTGAAGAAACCCAAAGAAGCCTCTAAATGCACAGAATTTGCAAAGCAGAATATGAACTATTTAAAAGACAGGTTGTTGCAGATTACAGGTATAAGTTGCAGATTAAAGATATAGAATGTATCGAAGAAAGAGTAAAAAGAACCCCCCAAAGCCAAATCTTTAAAAAAGCAGAAGCTCTTTACTGCAATAGGAGGCTATTCAACAGAAATAATAACAAAAAAGCTTTCAATTTAGAAGTAAGCATAAACTTTTGTAGGATAAATGCAAAATAAAAAGGTTGCTTGTCAGCTGCTGAAGATGCATAGGCATTTGTAAAGGTTTGTAAAGAAAATAGACTCTCATAGTCTGCTGAATAGATGAATATAAAAAGGGGTTTCAGTGAAGAAGCAAGATCTCAAAGAAACATGAAAACTAAAATTCCCATGATACGAAATGATGGTGATAAAGCGGGAAATGAATTCCACTTGGACAAATACAAAGTAAAGCATAGAAAACAACCATCTAGTACGACTATCTGGAAAGAAATTTTGATACCGATGTGAATATTTTTTCTGCATATGATAGCTGATGGGCAAGAAGGCCCATCAGAAGATTGTTAAGAATCAAGTAGGAATTGGGGAGTGGGGGTGGAAATAWAGTGGGACGACTGTGTTAGTCTATTATTCCTATGAACTGCATGTGGATTTAGTCACCTTATCTTGAACAGAAAAGAGCAAGAGAGATAATCAGAGGCTTAGAGTGAGTTGGGGAGGCATGTGAGCACTGGTCTTTGTCATGTTTCCTTAAAGGTATGTCCAAAGTCTCCAGGAGATCCTTGACTTTAAGGACAAAAGTTCAGAAGATTCAGATGCTATTCACAGGTAAGGATTTGCTCTCACGTTTATTTCATGCAAAAGGGCTGGCAAGTGGCTCAAGAACAATATCAACTACCTTAAATTTCTGCAGTTGCAGTGCCCTCACTCCCTGCCTCCCAAAGTCAAGTACATGAGAATGTGAGACAAAGCACTTCCTTCTATGCCAAGTTATTCCGGGCTTTTTTTTTTCCCCCTTGACCAATATAATGAATTCCTTACTTGTTGCAATGCATGGAACTTTCCAACCATAGGGTACATTGTGGCATCATTGACTGATAGTAGCTGCTATTTGACAGGCATGGGATGATTTATGTGAAAATGGCTGGCACAATTTTCTCTTTTTCTTCGACACTATGATTGATTCTTTTCAGTGTAAGCTGCTTGAAATGACTTATGTGCTCTCAAGTCTGACCTGCTTTTTTACTGTGGTAGGTGGATCTGTGATGTTTCTGTGCAGAGTGATCTTTGTAATCTTCTGGGCCAGATACTCAATTTTCCAGAGTATTAAAATGACTTGAAAGTGAAAATCTTAACACTGCTCTAATTTTAGTTTTACAGATACTGTGATAAAAATCCGGAATCGACACAATGATGTAATTCCCACTATGGCTCAAGGAGTGACGGAGTACAAGGAAAGCTTTGGCATTGATCCAGTGACCTCTCAAAACGTGCAGTATTTTTTAGACCGTTTTTACATGAGCCGCATCTCAATTCGAATGCTCCTTAATCAACACTGTAAGTGCTGTTGTAAGGAGAGAGAATAATACATGTACCTTGTCTGTATATTTTCATTTTCATGTGCTTAAAATGAATTTCAGTGTTTCAAATGAATACACTGTTTACTTTGCTATTCRTAAATTTCTCTAATACAGTTCTTAAAACACTTTACTAATAGCCATTTTGTTTGCTAAAGATTGCAATTATATAATGTTAATAAATTCCTATTTAGCAATGTCTAAGACACAATCTAAAAATTAAGTTATAGTTGGGTATTAAACATTATTTTCTTTTTTGGCAGCCTTATTGTTTGGGGGGAAAATTAATCCAGCTCATCCAAAACACATTGGAAGCATTGATCCTACCTGCAACGTGGTTGAAGTTATTAGAGGTAATTTCAGCAGATAAAAACAAGAATTCTGTAAAGTTATATGAATGTCTATATTGAAAACTRATAAATTAACATGGTGTTTAATTCTTTCTTACCTGGAGCAGAAGTTCTATTTCAAATGTAAGACAGTTCCGTCAGTTTTCACATTAAGTCCAGATTTTGTAAGAAAATACAAGACCCTCTGACAGTGCAGAGTATTTTCAATTTGTGAATTTCTTTTTGGCAAACTACTAAAAAAAAAAAAAAAAAAAAAAAAGGAATTGCAGTAGGGAAGAATTAAACTTTCTGTGTTTTGTTGTAGATGGCTATGAAAGTGCTAAGAGTCTTTGTGATTTATATTACATGAGCTCTCCAGAGTTCATCCTTGAAGAGCTGAATGGTAAGTGAATGTGAACTCTTGAATGTAGTAACTTTAAGTACCTGATACTAAAAGATTCTCCCTCTACTTCTCATGTGTTTAACATGAGCTCTATTTATTCTCTCTATATGGTTCTAAATAATAATAGGATTTTTTTTTGGTCTGTCAGAAGGCTTYCCTTATTTTTTTCCTTTTCTTTTTCAATATTAGGAAGTTCAAATTAGTAGCAAAAGTTTTAATTGTACAGTTTTTAACAGCTTCCTTCCCTCCCCACCTTACACTCTTCATTGCGTTCAGGACTTTAACAATCTCAAACTCTCTGCATTCGCCTGTGCAACTTTTAAAATTGSTACCAAACATTCTGCTCAATTTCTCTTTCTTATTTAGCTATCATGTACTTGTAGTTGCAACTGGGTATAGTATGCATTTCTGTAAAAATTAATTGCACCCATTGGCTGTAACTTTAGGAAAACACCTTTGTAACTGCACTGCTTTGAACTGGGAGCTCGGCCGTAGTCCTTCATCACAACAGTACTTACTGGAGTGCTTTCCAAGTGATTAAAAGCCCGGTCCAGATAGTGATAATAAAAACAAGCTCTATGGATAATTGCAAGAGCCAGAACACAGGCACTGTAACTTGGCCTGCCAAGCTAAAGGCAAAGAAAATGTGGTTTTAACTGTACATGCCTTTTTTTTCCTTCCTGCTGTAGAGAACACGCCCTTCTTTATCCAGCATAAAGGTTTGTTTCTCCATCCTTGAGCGTGATTACTAAAACAATCTCTGGGGCCCTATCAGTCATGGTAATTCTGTGTCCTGAAGGGTCTGTTAAGGCTGCGGGTGCTGCAGGAGCCAGAACGAATGGGTTAGTTTATAAATATAGAGGGAGCAGCCCTTTGCTCAATGGATCGTGAAGGGGAGTTAAACCTGAGCGGGCCAAATGCACGTTCCTTATTTGTCCTTGTGAATGAAGGCAGTTAAATAAAACCTCAGGCATGGGGCTGGGGGCAGGGTCGTGGAAAACAGTTGACTTGAGGGTAGGAACCAGTTTTCCAGGTGCAATATATATTTTTTTCTTTTATTTTTGACCACTACCTAGTTTGTTTGATGCTTATTTTAACATTTATAGCTGATAAACACTGGTTAGTAATACGGTCTGGTAAAAGGAATATTAATTTGTAGAAGCAGAAGGACTTTCATGGCCACCAGAATGTTCAGAGCCACTTTTTTTCCCTCTTTTTTCATGTAATAAATGTAATTTCCATGATACCATTTCCAGAATTCACTCTTTAAAAAGTATTTTGAAAATTATACCAGTTTATAGACAGAAATATCTAAATAATCTTTAAGGTTTATTGTTATGTGAGCTAACTTCTAAAGTAATCCAAGCCTAGGCTGTGCTGCAGTTACAGTTTGGGACATCAGAGCATTATAGGATAGTTTGGGGTGGAAGGGGCTTCTCAAAGTGTCTAACCTGACCAGGTTGCTCAGGACTTCTTATCTAGCCTGGTTTTTAAGAGCCTCCAAGGGTAGCAACCTGTTCCAATGTTCAATTGCCCTCATGGTGAAAAGATTTTTTTGTTATATGTGGTCTGAATATCTGTTAGTTCATCCTACACTTGCTGTCTCCTGTCCTTTTACTGTCCTAAAAGCCTGTCTCCACCTTAACAACCTCCATGTACTGGAAGGCTGCTATTCTCTGCTGCTATCAGTGTTGTCACAGTTTGCTTAAAGATTAAGTTCTAAAATAGCAAGCACACTTAATCTTGAATGTGAGTTTGAACTCAACATAAGAAGACTTCTGTTCGGATTTTCCTTCTCTTGTGAGTTCTTTCAATTAACACAAACATATATTTTTACTTACTGCTGGAATGAATAAAGGGTATCTATCTAGTTTGCCATTTAACTGTTTAGGCCTTCTTTTCTCCAGCTAAATCACCAGGACAGCCCATGCAAGTGGTATACGTACCATCACATCTCTATCACATGGTTTTTGAACTTTTCAAGGTCTGTGCAGTTACCATTACACCATTTTTTTTATACATACTTGTTTAATGAGATTGCAATTGTTTAATTTTTGAACCAATTGTAGATAGTAACCTGCTTTCTGCAAGCGCAATCCTCTAGCTATTTGCAGGAATATACCTAAATATTGTATGTAGAAAATAAACAATCATGTCATTTATGTAATGAATGATTATCTCTGGAAACAGCAGCATTAGGCAGCATTGTCAAAAATCTTTAAATGTAGAAAGACTGTAGTTAAAAAGCAGTGGCAAATAAGATAAATAATTTGGCCACCTTTAAATCTGATATTATGAGAGAGGAGCACTATAGAGCTTTCCCCTAGTAATTTCTTCAGTCTTCCAGTTTTCTTCAGCTTTGTGTCATACTGCATGTACAAAGCATTATAAAGAATCTACAAATAAAACTACAGTAAAATTAGCTRTTTATTCTAAAATATTTTAACTGCAGATACCATGCAGATACCTTCTAACAAATTATACAAATACTGAATGAAACAGAAATACGTATAAGATTATTCTAAAGCTACAGGCTTTTGTCCTGATTTGGAAATAAGCTCATTGAAATATTTTATTTTCCTAAAGTGGTGTCTTAAGATAATACAGAGAATGGTAATAATAAGATTTAAGTTCTTGTACTTCAATTTGGAAACTGCAGAATGCAATGAGAGCCACCATGGAACATAATGCTGACCGATGCATTTATCCTCCAATTCATGTGCATGTCACATTGGGCAATGAGGATTTAACTGTGAAGGTAACTTTTTAAAAATTATTAAAAAAAAAAAAAACAACTTTTTCTTTTTTTCCTTGACAGAGGCAGCATATTGTTAGATTTAGTTAGTGATTCTGATTCCAACAGTATGTTGTAGCTTATGGTGCAGCATGCAAGTATGAAGTTGTTACATATTCATATGGCAGGGTCCATAATGAAATTTTATGCTTGTATCATTGTCATTTTTGTGCTTAACTTAAAGGCCAGCATGACTGAAAATGAAGTTGGCAGCTTTATATAATTGTAATGTTAGCATTTTGTAATTAAAAATGACTGTGGTGTAAGCTGGGAAACAAAATGTCTATTCCATGTAGATCAAATCTGCCTGAAAGATTGCCTTCCTCTTTTGCACARTATTCTTGTTGAATTTCAAATACCAGCTGCAAGTAACTGGCTTTTTCATAGGTATCACTAAAGTCTAGTAAAACAACTCTTAGTGATAGATTTTTATCATACTGTGTTTAATTGATACTATTCTTGAGAGGTAAAGTTGGAAATATATAGAGCTTTGCATTTSTTTAAATAGAATGAGATGCTAACTTCCAACCAAATTAGTTATAAATAAAATAAAATCTATTAAAAATTAAGATTTTTCTCGCTTGTAAGGKATTATTACTGCTTGCTGTGGTAGTATGTTATTTAAATAACTTGAGYGAGGGATGGAAGGGAAGGCTTCATCTCTTGCTGGTCATTGCCGTAGTCGAGATATCAAAGAAAAAATCTATGATTTAATAAGGACAGCTTTATATTATTCTAAATTTTCTCTGGATTATTGCCTTTTTTTAATTAAAAAAAAGTTAATCATACATGATCTTTCTTGCTGAAGATGAGTGATCGTGGTGGAGGTGTTCCKATGAGGAAAATCGACAGATTATTCAACTATATGTATTCAACAGCTCCACGGCCCCGTGTAGAGACATCACGAGCTACACCGCTGGTATGCAAGTCTTTTATACCTTACTCATCATAGACCTAAGATGATAATCACAAAAATAAACAAAACCCAGCATAGAGCCAAGGCCTCTGCATTAATAATGTTACTGATATAAGTATGACCATTTGGATGCTAGAGCTTAAGTCAAATACTTTTTTGCAAATAACTGGAAAATTGCATAAAATCCCTAAATACTTACAGTTATTTAAGCTTTGAGATTTTTGTCTTCTCTGTCAAAGTTACTCAGCTACCTGAAGCAGAACACTTTGCTATACTGCACGTGTTGCCATAAGCAGAGGATTCTAAACTCCTGTTGTGGCTGCTGAACGAAAGGAAAGATAAATATAGCTGTAGCTCTGGATGTAGTCTGGGCTTATTTCTATGGGAGGTTGCAGAGGATGGTACAACTGACTATACAGCACAAGAACAAAGGGGCACAGCTGTAACAAGGCACATGAACACTGTTTCTGTCTCAAGTGAATTTAACTAAGTGAACTTAGGCCTTACTGAATTCTACAGCTGCACAAGAAATCTAAACTTAGTCTCAGTTAAAACCTCCTAACAGCTCTCCTTAAACTTGTTATGCCTAACATTTGAACTCCTTATCTTACCATCAAGCATCATGCATAGGTTGTCTCTTTACCTTGTTAGAAAACAGCTGTTTCAGGTTGATGCAATTAATGGAAATACGTCTTTTTTTTTTTTTCCCCCCCTCTCCTTTCGTGCTTGCTCTCCTTCTGAATCAGGCTGGATTTGGTTATGGCTTGCCCATATCACGTCTGTATGCACAGTACTTCCAAGGCGACCTAAAACTGTACTCTTTAGAAGGCTATGGTACAGATGCAGTTATTTACATAAAGGTATGACCTAATACTTTACCATTTTAACTTCATAATCAACTCTGAACTGTTAATGGATATCTTTGTTCTGTTAATCTAACTTTGATTCAAAAACTAGTCAGCTAATGTCTTTTTTTGCAGGCCTTATCAACGGAATCGATTGAGAGACTCCCTGTATATAACAAAGCAGCTTGGAAACACTATAAGGGAAATCATGAAGCAGATGACTGGTGTGTGCCAAGCAGTGAACCCAAGGACATGACCACTTTTCGCAGTATATAATTTTTTTTATTTCCCTCAGAAGTTCATAAATAAATACTTATGTTTGCAAAGGGAATGTCAACAAATTGTTACACCAAGTAGCTAAGCTGTGTTGAAAAYGTGAAAAAAAAAATCAATCTAAGAAAGAAGTAGCTTAATTCAAATTACTGTCTTTAGTCAGTATTCAAAAGAATTAAGAACTGTGCATATTTTCAATTTTTCAATAAAGGTGGTCACACTTAATTTGTTCCACCTCCTATTTATGATTTCTTCCAATAGCTAAATCTAGGGAGCACTCTTCAGGTTTTATAGGGACCAATGCAACCTATTTTATATCTAGTAAAACAAAGGTTAATTCATGCAATTACAAAACTATTTTAAAAGAAGATCTGTTGACAGTTCACCAGAGGAAATTGGTCTCTACAGAGTGTTCTAGATTAATGAAAAATCTTTGTAAGAACTAGTAAGTGTAATGCTATACCATTGCAGCTGTATGGCACTTTTTATTCCTTGATTCTTAAGCACATTGACGTCTAATTTTCTGAAGTCAGAAATCCTGCCTAAACTTTATACTTYGAAATTTTTTGCAGCTGTAGAAATAACCACGTTTGGATCTGTAGAATTTAAAAAAAAAAAAGAAAAAAAAAAGTCTTTTAGCTGCTGCCATTGGTATAATGTATCTCAGGTATGGTATTAGTTGTATTTCTTTATAGTATTTGGTTGTTATGTGAATATTTAATACTTATAAACTTATCTTGGTGTGATCAGTGTGAACTAGCAAATGGTGTTGGCTTGTGTACAGTAAACATGTCTTACAATGTTTGCTTATATTTCTGTAGGCAATACCAAAACACAGTATCAATGTTGGAGCACGAGGAAGATTTCATACTCTGGGAATGYCAGGTTACACCTGTAAAGGAAAACTATTTTTAATAAACAGATTTTTAATATTTGCCCTTACTAGGGCATCTGTGTTACTTTGACAGTAGAAACTAGCTTCTCAGGAGTATTTTAAAAATGGGGAAGTAATAATTTTTGAAAATACCTTTGTATTTGTAATGTGATTCTGACTGTTTATGTAATAACACAGACTATAACATAAATAAGGGGAGCAAGATGTCCATCAAAGGCATATTGTCAAAACAAGACACGGGGGAGGAGAATGAGTATTATGTTTCAGGTGACACAGTTCTTCCTTAATAAAGGACACAACTTCTCTTGCTGCTTACTGTGTATTGTATTGTGTTCAAATCATACACATCATGTTGCACCTTTGACTCCGGTTGTGTCTGAACATCTTGGCAATGATGCAGTTAAAAAGGTGTAGAATGCCAGCCTTTTCCTCAGATAACCAACATAGCACCAGTAGTTCTGAGCTTCAGAACGAGCAGACACATAGGAGCTCTCAGAAGGAATAAGCACAGATTTTGCTAGTTTACAAGAACAGCTCAGAGACAACAGCGATAGAGATACTACCCGAAGTGAAGAGAGTAATGACTAATTCGAGCTTAATTCTTGCTAGCCTAGTTGTAAACTGAACCAGATTAAAGGCCATCACCAACATGTTCCTGGGGCCCTACTAGCCCAGTTATGCAAAGCAAAATCCCTTTATAGCCTGTTCAAGCTAACTTGGGACACTGCAACGGGAATGAACTGTGCAGTAACTGCAATTGCAGGTGCACTGGCACTCTGAGGAAGGATTAATCCACCTGTGGCCACCTGAACAGCATACTGAACTGTTCCACGCAGCTCTGTGCACACTGAGCGCTCCTGTGTTTGCTTACCTTAAAGAAGGTGGTGCCTGAGGTACCTTTCAAGGAGCAACAGCTGTTTCCTTCTCCACACTGCATTCACTGTAGCGTGCAGCAGGAACTACTTGTAGCTACTGCTTTTGCTAAACTAAAGCTGAACGTTACAGCAAGGGATTGCAACATTACAATTCTGAAACTGACTGTTATTCTGGCTCTTCTGCTAAGWTTTAGATGTTAAAATATTTAAATAAATAACTTGAACTGCTTTTAGTAATATCTGAGAAGAAATGTTTCTGCAGAAAAGCTACAATTATTTGTTTCTTAGAAAAATCTGTCAAAAGATACTACATGGTATTACTGAAATAAAAACCTTTTCCTGTTCTCAGCTTTCTACAGCTTGAATTCTGAGTATTAGAGTAACGTCCCTGTAACTGTATTTTTCCCCTACCAATAATTGTAAGAAAAAAGTGTAGTATATTTTGGATTCCAATGTTTAATCATACTCATAAAATCTAATCAATTTTTCTTGATTTACATAGCTACATAGCTAATAGCCTTTGGCTCAGAGATTTTTTTTTTTTTTTTTTATAGAAACATTTTCAGTATTGCATTGAAATCAGTGCTAGCATCTGGGTTAAAATGAATCATGGTAAAAAGATAGTATAGCAACCCAACTATCAAAATGCTGAGATTAATAGTTTTCAATGAAAAGGACCTCAGTCTTGCACACTGAAATTAATTTTAGTTGATCTCTTTTTTTTTTTTGAAAGAGACACAACATTTATTCAATACAAGTATTTAAAAAAATTAAGACTTTCAGCTGAGCGACTCTGTGAGCTTGTTCATGGAGTCAGCTCTGCCTTTAGCAGGTGCTCACGACCTGCTGGGGCCCATGTTAATCATTGCCCTTGTAACCACACAAGCGCTGAGGGRTCAGCGCTGCTCCCGCCTCTCCCAGCTGCAGGAGCCCTGCACACAGGCAAGCCTGGGCAGCTGTTGCTTCCAGCGCCTGCTTCCTGGAAAACACTTCCCACAAGGTGCAACACTGAGCTCAGCTGGCTTAAAAGAATAAAATAACAGAGGTTGTTCCAGTATTCCCAGTTCTAACCGAAAGTAAGTGCTCCCCTGGAAACTTGGTCTCCTGGATGAGTAAGCAAAGCTGCAGTTTTAGGCGTATGGCCATAAAGATCTGCCCAGTCCATTTTTTTCCTAATTCTCTTCTATCAGCAGTAGGGTAGCTCTTCCTGCCTAGCTCAAGGTCTGTAAGGGATGAATGCAATTCAGATCTACAGGAAAAAAAGTAAATAAGAGTTAAATCTTGACAAAATGTTTGTTAATGCTCAGAACTGAAAATAGAACTGTTTAAAAGTCTTCACCACTAAGAGTTTTAACCTTTATTTTGCAAAATGCATGGGGTTCAGGAGTCTTTTTGCTGCCATTCAGAAAAGACAAGATTTTTACCAAAGAAGAAAAGAAAGAAGAGAGTGAAACACCAACTGGGAAGTCCATTCATTTAATTAAAATGAAAAATAGTCCATAGATTTAAAGGAGAACTTGGTCCACATGAATGAATGAAGTTTTGTTCTAGTCCACTCTATGATGGAAATTACACTTTTACTTAACRTTTCTGTAATAAGCTAATTAAAGAAGTGCTGTTGCAGTATCTCTAGAAGACAGTATGTAAATATACAAACACCAATTCATTTTCTAAACTATTTTGGGAATCAAATCCTCCTTTAAAGAGAAATAACCTGTAGTCTACAATCAAACACTTAAATACAATGCAGATACCCAGTGCTTCAGTGATATTTTTTCCTACAATTTTTCCCTCAGTACTTTAAGTTTGAAAAACAGCATAGTTTAAAATTAGCAAATATATAAATTTGGTCCRCAAAAATCTTGTAGCAAGTAGAAAAGAGAAATACATGTATTGCAAATTGATCTTATTCATACCGTAAATGTATAAAACTATGTATTGTTTAGGAAAAATATGTTAAAAAAGATCTTATTTATACGTCAAACCTTGTCCCAACACCATACAGGGTAGTGTGCAGAAAATTCAATGCTGTAATTAGTGGAAGTAGTTTACAAAAACTACTTAATATTTCTGGTTATTTTCTTAATAAACTGCAACACATGGAATCCAAAACAAATGTGTTACTACAGTGGATTTAGATTTTTTTTTTTAAAGGGACCATCACTGAGAAATAAAAGAATTCAAAGAAAATACTTCATAAATTTGAAATACATGTTTTCTTTTTAAATTAATTTGACATTACTGTTTTCTTAAACTTAATTTTTACTATACAACTTCAGTGGCAACATATAAACAAACTGTCACAGACTGAATTTGGCAGGATTTTTCTATTGTCCCTCTATCGGATTCAACTCTATATCAAATACTAGCTGACTAATATTGGAATGATTTTAATACAATAGTCTATTCTCCACAAATGTTTTTCAAGTTTAATGAAAAGGGCTTTTTTTTTTAAATCAGTCTTAGAAGCACAAATAGTACTTAAGGCAGAAAGTTAAATTATTGTCTATTAGTATAGGCAGAGTCAACTAGGAATAAAAAATACTGGAAACATTTATTTCAATTTAACGGCTTGTAATGGGAAGGGACTATTATTAAAAAGTAAAAAAAACCCCAAACCCTACCATGTTAGATTGTTGCACTTTCCCTCCTACCTCAATTGTACAATTATATACAAATACGATGAACTTCAAGATGAAGCAAGCCCGTGCCGAGAAAAAAAAGGCATCATTTTAGCAGCTTGATTCAAGAGTGGCTACCACCCTGCCACTCTTTCGAACTTCTCGCTCTTTCTTTTGAACTTTTTCCTTCTGCTTTTCCAGTTTTTCTTGTGTCTTTTTAATATCCTTGATTTTTTTCTTTATTGTTGATCGGTCGTTTTGACTGGAAACTCCTAAAGCCTTTGGAAGGGAAAAAGAAAAGAAGCTTGTTATTACCTTTTTAACAGCAAAGCATATCACTTAAACTGTTTGTGCTTAAGAAAGGGTTATTCACTTTGCTGCAAGGCAGTCTGTTTATCTGAATACAGACCTAAGTCCTCAAGGGCACCATCAAGGATCATCTCAGTAACAGAAGCAGCAAAGAAAAGGCAGCCTAGGCTTGTTCGGCTTGTTCTTGTTGGGAAATAACAGCTTCTTATTGCATTTAATATGCACAGAGAAACACCTGAAATTTTCTAATACGTAGTATACAAAGAAAAGTAGTATTTTCAAAACATTTTCCTATTTTTTTATATGGCAGTAGTTTTTCTTCATTTCTGTTTAACTTCTCTTAGCTAGCCTTTTTATTTTATTTTATTTTATTTTATTAAATATCCTAGGAATGCTGCTGAACTCAGATCAATCAGCTGCGGTTTTTAACTGCTTGGGAAAAATCCGGTCCATGAAAGCTGATTCCAGAAAGCTCATGTTGCTTTTAAAGTTGCACAGCAAATAAAAATCTTTGAAGGAATAGCTCCAACAATCAGCCCCAGAAACATAGTATTAACAAACAAAAACCTCAAGCATCTTTTTTGCTTCTTTCTACCCTCCTGAGAAAATGATACTGTTGAAAGAAAAACAGAAAATCCACTCCACACTATAACAGTAATTCAAAGTATTTTCAAAATATTTTTTCTAACTCATTAACATATACCAACAGCAAGCCCACCAAGTTTCTTGGTAATAATACCTAAGCAAATGACCAAACTTCAGAAAGACTTCTTGCTTTGATGATGCAATATTAACATTGTGACTGTTAATATTTACTTTCTTTTTCAAGATTAATCATTTCTATCAATATGTGATATGTTAACTTGGCATGCTTGTCACTGCTTGTCTTTCCCATCTCCCATGCAAGGGCTCTTGTTCCTTTTGTCTTATCTTTTGCACAGTGTATCTTCTATCTGTATTTAGCACCAACTGGACCTACATTCACGTTAAAATAATTAAGTATTCAATGAGTAGTCCGTGCATTTTGATTTTTAATCAGCAGATGGCAGTACCTTATTTCAAGTCAAAGCACTGCAACAGACGTACACTACTTAATTGGAGGAATTAGGTATATAAATYAAAATTTAAGCATCAACAGGTATAGATGTTCATTTGACATTCTTCTGTCGAGTATTTTCTTCGGACAAGGACACATTATTTATCAATACACAGGAAGTTTAGTGAACATGTCTATTGTACAGTGTCTACTGTACTGGATAAAAATCTTTTCATAAGATCTTATATTG